AAAAGGAGAGAAGGAGAGAGAGAGAGAGAGAGAGAGAGAGAGAGAAAGAGAGAAAGAAAGAAAGAGAAAGGGAGCGAAGGGAAGGCATGGTGGCGGACTCGTAAACCCGGGGGGCTGCCTCACGTGACTTCATATGGAATTTATAACATTAATTGCGGTCCATAAATCAAGGGTGCGTGAATCATAAACTTTCGCAGCGGCTCGCGCGCTCTTTATCGCTCTTCATTAACCATTATTTATGGCCATCTAATTATCCATTCACGGCTTCGTTTTGATCACCTTGTTTTCTGCTTAACTGTATGCTAATTGCCAACAACCAAGCGGAACGCATGCCAGCGCCTCGCTCGGGGAAACGAATCGGCGGCGGAAACACCCGAAGCGGTTCGCTAATGGCGAATTAGTATTTTTCACACAAAGAGATTTCGTAGTACATTCGGAATTTTGGTCGAGATCTGCTTCCTTTAAATCAAATTTCGCCAAAAATATGAAAAGAAGTAGGTCCATACTAAACACCTAGGCCTACTCTCTTCATGTTTGTATTGACGACTGCGATATGCGAATCTAAGCTCAGTCTCGGATATATATACTCGACAAAAGACCACCTGCCACCTGTCACCTGCCGATCTACACCAATACAATACAATTTCCCTTTTAATTGGAGGAACTCAAATGATTAGTAGGCCTATAAGCATGGTGTTATGGGCAGAAGCCGCCTAAAACATGTTACGTAAAATCAATTATGTTTCATCATTTCGTAAACTGTCCCTCACAACTGCATCAAACTGTCTCATTCACAAATTTCACAAAATAAACACAAATTTGCGATTTTGTGATATGTCACATAATTTGTGATTATTTACTCCTGATATATATATATACGTAATATAACTAATAACTAATAGTTATTATCTAGTAAGTAGAAGCTCAATCGACAAGCTATAGGTTAGTAACAGCGGTGCAGTTGTTACGGCGGTTAGTGACGACGAAATGTCGCGTTAGAATCTTACTCCTACAGCGACACCGCTGTGACCTGCGTTTCTACGTGATTTCTCCATGTTATCCCAAATTATTCAATTCAGATACGTCGTCACATTACAGACAGGAAGAGATTCATATTATTCTCTACGTTGCGCTGTGTTGTAGGTGTAAGGTTTTTACTCGCGCGTCGAAGAAATGTGAGAGCAAACTCACCTTAAGCGAATTCCAATCTCCAGCTATTAGCCGCGTTCACACGTAGCAAGAAATTCGGTATTTAGCGTTCACACGAAGCAAAATGCGCGGTCCAAGGAATACGGTATCTAAACAGATCCGGTATTTGTTGAAATACGCGGCTTCCCAGACCCCGAATAATTTTCCGTGCTTGAGAAATACCGGATCTCTTGGACCGCGCATTTCCTCGTGTGAACGCTAAATACCGGATTTCTGAAGCCGCGTATTTTATAAACTGGTCCGCGCTCGACAGTTCCAGTGTAACGCGAGTGGAACTGTCAAGCGCGGACCAGTCTACGTATTTTATCGGCAGTTGGTTCGCATTGCATTGTTTATTTCGCATTGGTCGCTTGATTGTTTAAAGCAGCTCGCAGCTCGCAAATACGGCATTTCTGGAGCCGCGAATCAGCATGTGAACGCTCGGCCGCGTATTTGTCTCAGATTCGGTATTTCGCAAATACCGTATTTCATAAATACGAGGTCTCAATAATATAATCTATTATAGGTCTCAATCTATAAATACTCCGTGAATTTTCAATGACCGCAGCGGTATATGCCTGAATGACATCGACAAATACTTTTTAAACCAGTAAATCTACCCAATTAGTTGCGGATTCTCCTGCTCGACAACAAAAAACTTTTGTCAAGCGCAAAAAGTCTGTTACCTCACACAAAATAAAAGGCATTGTCGAAATCCGTATAGATTACAAAATCGAATTATTGTTAGCGTTACTGGTTATCTTTTCATCGTAATTGTTTCATTTTTTCTCGTCTTCGAAAAATTTGAACACGCGCGACGGACAGATAAGCATTTTCACCAAGATAAAAAAACAACGAGGAAAAGACGTGTGCGTTGTTCGTTAATACTATAGTCGGCCTACAATCATTCGCCAAAACTGTAAAACTAAAAACAAAATCGCTACGCTAAACTAGTATGCCCGAACAGACATAATAAATTTTTGTTATATATATAATATATAATATAATATATATATATATCCAAGAGTTAATAATAATAGGTATTATTAGCTCTTGATATAACATATGTTTATTATACGTATATACAAACTATATATATACGTGTTACTGCATCTATAGCTGTCGGTGTCTCACCTTATATCGGGCATACAGTGGTACATGTCTGCCTGATAGCTCACGCGCGTCTCCTTCTTCACGTAAGACCGAGGCGACGTCGTCACAGACGTCGGCGACGTCTGACAGCTTGAGATCGGCGACGGCATCTCGTAGCGCCCCCCTGTGGACGAGTCTTGCTCGCAGGTCAGGCTACCACTGACGAACGTTCGCTCGCCGTACTCGAAGTTTGGCGTCGGCATGTGGCTGAGGCGGCGACACGGCTGGCAGCAGTGGTTGTTTACCTCCAGCTTTACCCTTGACGCGACACCTGCGAAGAGTGATGAGAATTACGCATGGGTGGCGTTCGATCAAGGTCAATCAAGGTCAACCAATGGCGATTAATGTCAATCAAGGACAGTTTATTGCGACCAAGGTCAATCAAAATCAATCAATATCAACCATGAAGATTTGAAGTCAATCAATGTCAACCAAGTGCGATAAAGGTCAGTCAAGGTCGATCCAGGTTAATCAGGGGCAATAAAGGAAGATCAAGGAATATTAACTCCGCACGCTGTGACGTCTACAATCGTCAAGGCCAGGAAACACGTGATCAATGCGTCCACAAGGCTCGCATGCCGGCGTAGCATGTTAAAAATCCCCCTATGGAAAACGTTCCGCTATGCATTGCGCATGGGGAATAGAAGTTAAATCCCCATGCGCAAGCGCCCGCGTGTCTACGTGGAATGTTCTAGGGGGCGTTTGCCACAGGGGGGGGGTGCCTACCATGCTACACGGGGCCTCTGGTTAGCGCCCTAGAGGTGACTTCTGTAAGAGGCAATTAACTACCATATAAGGCAGCACCTTCACCAAATCAATTCCAGCACCGCTCCCAACCACAGGTCTAACACACGCACGACGCCGCCGCTTTGCTCTATAGCAGAGCATATGGCCGCAAAAAAGCGTCCATATGTGTCGTTCAACAAGCCACTCATGCTAGACGAGGTTAGGTCATATTGGGTCTTGAATCGAGTAGCTGGGGTGGGAGAGCGTAGGCGAGGGCTGGTGCATCAGTGTGGGTTACTCATACATTATTTTACCTTCTAAGCCTCACAAAAACACGTGAACCGAGATGTTTATTCAACGGATAATGTCAATAGGGTTGCACATATTTATATCATATACTGCATTGACGTGACGTTATGTCGTGAAATGGCCTGACTGTTCATGGTTCGTAGACTAATTTGTGTCATTAAACTGGATAGATATTTGATGAGTTCTGTGTTTAATGCAAGTATAAAATCTTTATCGAGGCCATACTGAAACACTTAAACACACAATTGGCAATTTTTACTTGTTGACTCGTCATCTATGACATGTTATTGTCAGCGCAAATAAATGTGCTGTCACGGGTATGGGAACAGCTCGAAACCAAACCCGAAGCCAATATCCGGTTTGTGAACTCGTATTTGTGCTCTATCAGAACGTAGATAATATAGGTATACGTACTAGAGAGAGATCGTAGAGCCGATTTACAGCTTTCTGTGGCAGAATTTAATCTACTCGTTATAGAGTAAAGAAGCCCAAAAATGTTTCTGTGTTACGTGCCATGAGTTCAAGACGAACTAATTGGCTCGATGACATTGCATATTTATAAAACAACATTAACGGCACATGAAAACGTAATAATAACCTGACAACGTTTGTTTTGCTTTTCTGCATGAAACATATATGGCGCATTATAAACATATACGCGTGGTGACGTTTGCGGACATTAGGAGACGGTCTAACAGTTCTAGGTTGTCTGTCTGTGCATAAATCTGCTATTAATTCCTGGTATTTCACTCTTAAATGATGAGAGTAAACAGAAATAAACACGATATTGTCGCAGCTACATTAAGCATCACCAGTTCTCCATCATAGTACGATATCCGCAAAACTCGACGAACGAAGTGAACTCTCTACGGAACGAAGCTAATGTACATGATATTCTACACTATATTTGATACATATCTGAGCCAGGCTCGTGGTGTTACTGATGCGCTGAAGCCCAGATGAACCAGCCGATGAAATTTTACGTGCAACAGCGCAGCGTTGAAACCATGCGCATCTCTCTATACACCATCGCCCTGTAGTGGAAGTTCCGTTGCGAATGCAACACACACACACACATACACACCGACACACACACGCACAACACACACACATCACACACACACAACCACCACACACACACACATACACAACACACACACACCACACAACATGATCATATATACAACACACACATACACACCACACACCACCACCACACACACACACACACACACACACACACATAATACATATATATATATATATAGCAACGCAAATTGTTTCAGAAGCATCGGACGCCGATCAAACACAGTCTACGAGAGTTCGAGCAACAGGCGGATCAACAGCGGGGAGGGCAACTAGTGAATTTCAGCTGCTGTTCTTAATCAAGTGATGCATCGCTGACGTCGCCGCAAAGAAAAGACGACGTATTGGCTCGGCTGATATCCCACCTGATGATACCTTGCTGCAACAATGGCTGCACATCGGCAAGCATTTAATCATTGAGCGAGCGAGCACTGCGTGATCCAATCAAAACTTTGCTTGACGATCGTGGAGTCAATGTCATATTTCGCCTCGCAGTAATACGACGAAACAATAGACATCGGTTGCCTAGATGCTCGCGCCACAATAGCATGCCTTTATGATTATCATTGGTTACAATATTCGGATCCTAAGTGGAGGTATACGCACGTACTGCGCATGTCCTTACAAAGAGCGGGCACATCAAGCTATGCGAAGCGATCAAGGTTGTTGCTACGAGAGCCTTTAAATTGTGGATTAATCTCAAAAGAAAAATCAAAATATGTACAACGTACTCCATGTGAAATCACATCGCTTTTTCAAACTGACAATGTTAACTGGATATGAGTGGTCGCACTTCGTACACGGTTTGCACCCATATAGATAAACCGCAGAATGTAGTGATGAGAATTTGATTGGACGACGCATGACGTATTTCACAGGAGGGGGCATTTCGAGCGAAGCGCTCTACCCTCGCGTATTATTTGATGGCCGTTCGGAATATAACCATGCATGATGACCCAGAGTGTGGCTAATACGCCAAAAAATGCGTAATTATAATTGTGTTAGCACTGATGGAAAATAGCCGATATCATTAATGAGTGTGTACACAGCGCTACGTGAGTCTATCGTGGATTTTCCAACGGTGCAGATTCTCTCAAACTGCTCCCAGCGTGACACGAACGACGATGGAATCCAGCTGACAACAGTAATATCACTAATATACTAACTATACAACTATATAATATACTATACAAACATAATATACTAAATATACTAACTATAGAACTATAATATACTATACAAACATAATATACTAAATATACTAACTATAGAACTATAATATACTATACAAACATAATATACTAAATATACTAACTATACAACACTAACGTACATCACTATAACGACGACTATGATCAGGTAAAAGTTCACACATCAAATGACAAACGAAGCTGCAGCTAGCTCATCCAGCAATTGCTCTGAGCTAAAGCAAGGGTTCTTAACCTGTGGTCCATGGACCCCTTTGTGTTCAGTGGATGGGCTTCAGGGGGTCCGTGAATCAGGCGGATTCAACAATTCTGTGTTTATTTGCTTATGTACATTTTTCTGAGGAGGGGTCCGTAGCTTTCACAAGATTCTCAAAGGGGTCTATAACTCAAGAAAGGTTCAACACCACTGCTCTAAACGCATATAGCGATAATACTAGAACATTTAGCACGGTCTACTATATACAGCGTCATCCACGGCTGACGAAATGTTATTTCTCGCATCTTATATCTAACGCATTACCGAGAAAAAAGCATGGCGGCCGTATGGAATGAATAAGTGACGTAATGAGACTGCTATTAAGCAGCTTACACACGCGCGGGCAAGACTAACCGTATCGCATCCAAGGTAATTATGGAGTCGCTGTGCATGAGCAGTGGATAGCATTATAGATCGTACCGACAGTTACGCTGTGGTTTTTCCTGCTGCTGAGTTTGTTAACGCACGATGTAGATGCTCAGAGAATCTTACGCGTTGCATGCTAACCAGCTTTATAGGAGCGTTTTATATACCCCCGCATGATAATCCGCTTTGTAAACGCGCAACAAACGCGCAGTGACCTTTTACTTGGGTGACATTTTTCGTGGTCGCACAGGAATTACCTAAGGTATTAATGGAATATGCTGCGTTGCGTTCGCGCGTAGTGGGTAAAGATTGTCCCCGTACTCTCCAACCGCATTCATATCTCCCCCACTCCCTCTTTCTCTCCCTATCTATTTATCTATCCATATATCTATCTATCTTTGTATCTATCTATCTCTATCGATCTATCTATTTATCTATCTATCTATCTATCT